CCGCCTTCCATTTCAACATCCTGAAGCCCTACGTGAAGATTTTCACTGACAGCACAAAAGTCATGCATGTGAGTCCTTGAGCTCAAGGTTCCAAGTGGAGTCTGGAGGGAAAAAGCACCACAGACAGGTCAGGTCCACAGTCCTGGCTCTGAAGAGTTGCTTTGAGGCCATTGTTGTTTCTCCCTCCGGCCTTAATTTCTTCATCTGTAAAATGGGGATAAAAATCTCTAAAGGTGGCCTAGAGGATGGAATGGAGTCAAGTTGGTAGCACGAAATGGTTGTGCAGAATGGACAGCTTCCACGTTTCTCACACAGAAGTCCCATAAATTGAACACAGGAAGGATGAAGACGGCATAGAAGATACTGCTGAATATTAAGCCATTTCCAAACTCACTGGGGTACAGGAATAAGTGTTCATGATAGATGTGTTAGGTCAGGAGTCCGGTTCTTCGGGTCAGGGATGGGATCCTCACAGTGTATGATCAGCTGCAGGTAAGGTAGGGAGCTGTTTTGCCCAATTCTCTCCCATGTTTGGAACATGTCCAACTTCAGGCTGATTTAGAATGTCTTCCACTGGACATTTAGACTCTGATCCATTTGAGTCCCTTTCTTCAGAAGGCATCTTGAAGTGGTTCACATGATGGAGCCAGGATCTGTTGGGAGTGAGAGGAAGTTTCATTGCCCCTCGGAGCTTAGGATTTTTGGAGTCTTGGCCTCATGGTCACCACCTTGTGTTGGTCACAGTCAGGAGTCTAGCACAGAATAAAAAACAAATGAATAAAAAACAAACTCTACCTCTTAATGGAAGATGCTGAAAAAGCACACTGCACAGGGTCTAAATAAAGGAAGGTGAGAACGGAGGGGACAATTTTGTGTAGAGCTTAGCATTTTTCCTCACTTGCAATATTTTAAGTTTGCTGGTTAGTGTTTCCTGTGTCCTGCAAGAAGAGACGAGATTCCTGGGTCAGAGACAAAGTTTTTCTCACTCATGGCACACCAAGCAGCACGTGCTTCTTGTTGGTTTTCTTCCATTCTCCAAGCCTCCCAAATCTCATAGGGATCACACAGGTGAGCCCCAACTGGTGCTGCTCATGTATATATTACAATATATTACAATAGGAGAGCCTTACCTTAAGGAATCTGTCCTTAGAGCAAGCACAAGTGTGCTTGATATTTGTCTCATGGAAACCATTCCCTCATTCACAGAGATTGTTCTCTGCCAACACAACTCTGAGAAATGTTAAGAACCACCAGACGAGTACATCTCTGGCACAGACAGCAAAGATGTGCAGTGCCAATCTCTCGAAACAGGGATGTTTCTCTGCATTATCACAACGAAGACAAAGCTAGGTGGCACTTACGAGTAGTCCACATATATTAAAAATAATGTCTTGGGGTGAGGGATTTAACTCAGTGGTTCTTCTGCCTGCCTCAAAAGCATGAGGTCCCGAGTTCAATCCCCAGTACCCACCCCCCAAAAAAGTCCTATGAGAGCTGGGTGTGGTGGCACATGCCTGTAACCCCAGCACTCAAGAGGCTGAGGTAGAAGGATCGCTGGGAGTTTGAGACCAGCCTGGACTACCTAGTGAGTTCCAGGTCAGTTTCAACTACGTAGTGAGACCCTGTCTCAAAATAAATAAATAAATAAAATTTTTTAAAAAGTCCTGTACCAACTCCATAATATATGCTGTCCAGTTTGATTTTCACCAGTGTTGAGGTAGAGATTATTTTTTTCCCATCACAGATGGAAAGCCTGTACATCACAGAGATTAGGGAGTGTCTTAATTGCATTTTTTCATTGCTGAGACAAAACACCTGATATCCAGTGTTAAATGAGGAAAGGTCTACTTTGGTTCACAGTTTGTAGAGAGTTCAGTCCACAGTTGGCTGTCTCCAAGACAGGGTGGCAGAGGGGCATCACACATGAGAAATAGTATGTGGCAAGCAGGCAAGAGACAGCAAAGCAGAAAGCAGCAGAAGCAACAGCAGCAGAAGCTTTCTTTCCATCCCTTTATGTTCCATCTGGGGTACCTAGCTCTTGGGTGATGCCACTCACATCCAAGATGTGGTGACATTAATCCCAGCATCACACATGCTAGATCTAGCCACCTCCAAAAACCCCACCTATGACTGCACGAGGCTTTGGGTAGACATCTAAATACAGGCCATAACAGGGAGCTTGTAAAATGTGTCCAGCTAGTAAGTGAGCTAATAGCTGTAGAGCAGATAGCCTATTCTAGTTTATTGAAACCAGTGCAGCCCAATTAAACCAGCCAAAGATTTGACAGGTGGACTGGGGGGAGGGGAATGGAATGAGTTGACCAAGGGAGCACAGAGTACGGGAGGTTGATCTGGGACATGAACTCAGGGCTCCCAACTCCCGGTCTTGGGTGTTCATCTCCTAGTAGTAACAGTTTCTGTTTACACTCAAGCGTGGTCTTTCCTGGGGCAGAGGACCAGTAGACTGCTTTGAGAATCCAAAGCAGTGGTTGGGGGTGGGAATGTGCTTAAAGGAGTCAAGGCTTAGTGGCATCCCTGTCTTTTTCTCTGGCCAGGCCAAGTGGCAGCATACTCCCGGTCTTGGGTGTTCATCTCCTAGTAGTAACAGTTTCTGTTTACACTCAAGCGTGGTCTTTCCTGGGGCAGAGGACCAGTAGACTGCTTTGAGAATCCAAAGCAGTGGTTGGGGGTGGGAATGTGCTTAAAGGAGTCAAGGCTTAGTGGCATCCCTGTCTTTTTCTCTGGCCAGGCCAAGTGGCAGCACCTGATCTCCCAGGGCAGCGCCCGTCTGGACATGTTTGAGCTCATCAGCCTGATGACCTTGGACAGTCTGCAGAAATGTGTGTTCAGCTTCGAGAGCAACTGTCAGGAGTGAGTCCTTTCCCTGGGCTTGGAAACTGGGCCATGGAGCCAAGGGAGGAGGTGGGGAGGGAGAACTGACCAGAGGAATTAGAAGATCCTTGCTGGAAGAGATGGGTCAGACCTGGGCATTGAATGAGAAAGAAGACAAGAAAGAGAAAATGGTCCTTCTGTGTATGTGGAATCATTTGAGTAGTGGTAAAGGGACTCAAATGAGCAAAGTATGTGGAAAGAGGTGCACAGTGCAGGAGGCACCCAGAAAGTGATGTTGGAGAGGCAGCTTGTATTTAGATCAGAAGGGCACTGAAAAGCCTATCAAAGGGGTATGAACCTTCTCCTGACATTTCTTGGGAACCACTGAAGATGTTAAGCTTGTGTTAGAGAATTGTGATACTATGACTAAATGCCCCAAATAGTCATCTTACATTAAGGAAAGGCTTATTATTGTTGGCTTCAGTCAATGATCAATTGACTCTTAGTTTTGGACAGGTTTGGCGCAGTCACATCATGGTGGGAGTGTGTGTTCCAGTAGGCTGTACTTCATGGGAGTTAGAAGTAGAGAGACATAGCAACTGATGGGCTCCCAATCTTCCCCACAGGGCAGACCCTTGATTATCTAACTTACCTCACCTTCCAGAGGTCCTACCATATCCTAATAGCACCACAGGCTGGTGGCCAATCTTTGGACATATCTTCCTCCTGAGGACACTTCCTAATAGCAGCACACCTGATGATGGGCATGATTAGATCTGAGCTCTGTGGAACACTGATTGACATGAAAATTTTGGATGGAGTTGGCACAGAATTCAAGGAGACTGTGGAGTTGTTAGGCCACGGGCCAGTTAGAAGAGAATGAAATATGAGATTTGAGGAGAATGTCAGGAAGGAGAAGGAGCAGGACTGGAAACTGGGTCAAAGAGAAAGAGAGGAGCACCGCCTTCACGGTTTTATTGCTGACTAGGAGATAGACAGCTCAAAGAGATGGGATGCAGCCAAAGAAGAAATTGTAAGGGTCAAGTCACAGCTCAGGTATCTGCGAGGCCACCTGCCTCTGGAGCCTCAATTTCCCAATGAGATGCAATTACTATTAGTGGGAAGTATGTCTCATGCTTCAGTTACATGATGTTTTGCTTTCCTTTATGCCCCCATCCTGCAGAAAGCCCAGTGAATACATTGCTGCCATCTTGGATCTCAGTGCTCTCGTGTCAAAAAGGGTTGATCAGATCTTTCTGCACAAGGACTTCCCGTACCTCCTCACCCATGATGGTCAGCAATTCTGTAAAGCCTGCTGCCTGGTGCATGAGTTCACAGATTCTATCATCAAGGAGCGGCGTCACACCCTGCTCAATCAGGGAATTGATGACTTTCTCAAGGCCAAATCCAAGTCCAAAACTTTGGACTTCATTGATGTGCTTCTGCTGAGCAAGGTGGGATTATCAAGATGTGAATGAATGAACCTCGCTGTCAAATGTCAGCTCAAATAACTTGAGCTTTCCCATAAGGCACTGGGGATTTAGGGAAGGTATTTGAGAAGGAGGCACAAGGTAGACATAGAGGTGCTTTAGCGATGACTCTGGAATACTTGGGGCAGGGATTAAGTCTGAAACTACGAAGCACTCTATTGATAAGGTGAGAAGTTAGGGTGCCACAGTTAAATTTATATCTATATTATATTTATCATCTCTTTCTCTATGTTGACCAATGCACCAAACTTTTTGATCAGGCAGCCCATTTATTACTCACGGTGATATAACAGCAGCCAGAGCAAGACTCTCGCGATGGTTCCCCTTCCCACTCCTCCTTCCCTAAGTGACGCAGTGCTTTTTCTAGGACATGCACTGGGTTTTCAACCCAGGAAAAACGTCTGTACATCATGAGTCTTGGAGCCTCTTCTCGTAGGGAGATGAAGAGAAAGAGCAAGAGGGAGAGGGAGAGGGAAGAAAATTTTATTCTGGAATATGCAAACCAAATTGAGGGGAGAAAAGATGTTTTGGATTTATTACCTGAGAAAATGATAAGGTGCTTTGAAATAATTCTTAATCCCTAACTTCCAAAGTAAAATAGCACCCAATCATCTTGTAACCCAGGCTGCTATTAATATTATTTCAGAAATCCCTCATCATACAGAAGTGTGAGATATTAATGGACCATTAATTTTCCAACAAAAACGAAGAGGAATCCAGGAAACTGGGGAGGGTGTCTGGGTGACAGGGACTCTGGAGATAGGGACTGATGGCTAGCTTTTCATTGTTGTGACCACTTGGCTGAGAAAACCCTTTTTGGTCATATTGGGGATTTCTTCCAGGACCTTCACACTGAGCTACACTCACAGCTCTTTTTAATTTTGCAATAGAGACTCAGTATGTGGCTCAGTTTCCCAGGCTGAGCTTCTACTTATGATCCTCCTGCCTCATCCTCACAGACTGCTGGGACCATGCACAGGTCATCATCACGCACAGATAACAAACAAACAAATAAGCAACAGCTTATCAGAGGAATGATTTCTTTTGGGTCACAGTTTTGCTGCGTGGTCAGCTGGCCCTATTACTCGTCCTGTGATGAAGTGGAAACATGAAGACCCAAGGGCATGGTGGAGGAAAGCTCATCTCATGGCAAACAGGGAGCAAAGAGAAAAGATAAAAGCCAGAAATGAAGGGACTGGGGACCAGATATAGCTCCCGATTTCATGCTCCCATTAATTACCCTCTTGAGCAGACCTTTCATTTTCAGAGTCTCTCGGCAATACCATCCGATTATGATCCTAAAATTGGATTAATGTGGTAATTAATTTTCAGCCCTCTTCAGCCATCACCTTCTGAAAGCTCCCTCTCTGAACACGTGAGATTGTTCAGGAGTACTTTAAAACATAACCACGACTAAGGAAACCTAGCGGTGTGAGTGGACGTGACATCTTGATAGGTTTCTCAGAAGCCTCACAGCTGGTGTGATTCAGAGGGTCTTGCCTCCTCTCAGGATGAAGATGGAAGGGAGTTGTCAGATGAGGACGTACGAGCAGAGGCCGACACGTTCATGTTTGCGGGTGAGGGTTCCGGTGTGGGATTCTAGACTGTGCATGGTCTCCCCGTGAGGGGAACGTGGTGGGTCAACCGTGGCTCTCTCCATTCTGCCCCTGCTTTCCACCCCTCCTTCCTCCCCGGGGTCTCAATGGGCGGGCGCTGTCCACCCCGTGGTGCTGAAACGGCCCAGAGACCCGAGTCGGCCTGGCTGTTCTTCAGGTCACGACACCACGGCCAGTGGTCTCTCCTGGGTGCTGTACAACCTGGCCAGGCACCCAGAATACCAGGAGCGCTGCCGGCAGGAGGTGCGAGAGCTCCTGAGGGGCCGTGGGCCTGAAGAGATTGAATGGTGAGTCAGGTCCCCATGGCCTGTTCCTGAGCGCCTCTCATGGCTCTGCTCTCCAGTGCGGCAGAGTGATTATATTTTTGATGAGTTTTCCCATTATCATCTAATGAGTACTGCAGCTGAGTCCACAAACATCCCCTGGTACCCAGACTGGCTAGAAAGGGAAAGGCTGTGAGTGTTGGGAACAGAAAGACCTGGGCTGCTGAGACAACATGTGAGGAGAGACGATGCGTGTCCCCTGCACTCCTTTCTTTTTCTCTCAGGCAACATGTTTTCAAACATTTTCTTTCCCTGGGTGGTTGCTGCTCTCACGCTTACCCTGTCTCAGAGCAGGGATTGGTAAGGAACTCCTTGGGATAAAAATCATCTGCTTACCGTCGTGAACACCTGTGCCATTCATCTTTCTGTTCCACTCTGCAGATGTCCCCAGTTATCCTTCCAGGCCCTATTCTGTGTCCAGTCTGAGCCTTATTATAGACTTACGAAGGATCTACTTCAGGGATCTGCCTTCCCTGAGTTCCCAACTTGAGAGGCAGGGTGACTTTCGTAGTTCAGGACAGGCCCAGGAAAATTAAAAACATTTCTTTTGCTTGACTACTTAAATATTTGATTTTTGTTGGCTTTAAATAATTATACGGAGAAAAGATTCATGGGGCAACACAAGGCTGTGGCCTGTGTTTTCCCTGGATAGCTGTGGGTCGTGGTTTCCTTAGGGAGGACCTGGCCCAGCTGCCCTTCCTGACCATGTGCATCAAGGAGAGCCTGCGTCTGCACCCCCCGGTCACCGACATCTCCCGCTGCTGCACACAGGACGTTGTGCTCCCCGATGGCCGGGTCATCCCCAAAGGTGCCCACATTGTCAGGGGCAGGAGGCTCCCGGGCAGGAATCAGGGTCCATCAGGCCGTGGGTCCTTGCCCTGATCGCTCGCTCCTCTCCACAGGTGTTACCTGCCTCATCAGTATTTTCGGGCTGCATCACAACCCAGCTGTGTGGCCGGACCCCGAGGTGCTGCCTCCCCATCCCGGTGTACTGCAGGGGTCCTAGAGCAGGGCACACGGTGTTGTTGACCCGGGAAATCAGACGTCACCTGCCCCTAGCGCACCTGTCTCTCCTTGGCTGTTCTGGGCGACCCCACCCAGCAACCGTGGCTCCCTCTCTTCTCCAGGTCTACGACCCCTTCCGCTTTGACCCAGAGAACAGCAAGGACAGGTCGCCTCTGGCTTTCATTCCCTTCTCCGCGGGGCCCAGGTGAGGGCAGTGGGCGTGGGCTGGGCAAGGGCTGACCGGGGCGGGGACTGGGCGGGACAGAGGGGACATCCAGGTTGGCTTCTCATCGCCCCAGCTCAGGCTACGTACAAAGTTGTGAAGAACAGTGGATGGTTTGGTGCAAGAGGGGTCCTCGGTGGGCTCAGAACCTGCTCCCTGCCTACCGGTGTGATTCAGGCGCCGGAGTCTCAGCCTGGTTCGGGACACACACGCCCAGGTTGGGCGCGGGCGCGGTTAGCGCCCCTCGCAGTCCCTGGAGCTGACACGGTGGGGTCCGGGACAGGTTCGGGCAGGACGGGCCTGGATGGTCCGGGGCGCAGTCACGGTCCCCGCCCCGCCCGCAGGAACTGCATCGGGCAGACCTTCGCCATGGCGGAGATGAAGGTGGTGCTGGCGCTGACTCTGCTGCGCTTCCGCGTCCTGCCCGATGCCACAGAGCCGCGCCGGAAGCCCGAGCTGATCCTGCGCGCAGAGGGCGGGCTATGGCTGCGCGTGGAGCCGCTGAGCTGAGCTGTGCGTGCAGGGAGCTCCGTGGCCTGGCCGGGGATCCAGATTACCCCTGGCTCACCGTCCTTTGCGAAGACTCTCAGGAATAAACTGTGCTGTCCCCTGTGTCAGTCCCAGCGAGCGCCAGCAGGGGGAGCTGGGGACCCATGGGTGGGGATGAGTGGGGTGGGAAAAAGGAGGGCGGGGGGTCTCTGAGCCCAAGACCATGACCGCTTCTGGGTGAACACAGGGCCCTCACGGTGACGGTGGGAGCGACGGGAGGTGTTTGAGCAGAAAAGGGACCGGGATCATTAGGGAAGTAAGGAGACCTCAGCACTTTGCCCTTTCATGACCTCCAGTCTTATCTGCTAATGCACCCTGCCTTCTGTCACCTTTGGATTCTTCAGTGTTTCTAAGGTCACTCAATTGTTTTTATAGATAAAATAATTTTATTTTCTATTTTTAAAATTAGTACACATTTGCAGTACATAATGTTTTAATGGATCTTAGCCAGCAGTCACACGAATTTCACATGATTTCGTTTATTCTCTCCTCCTTCTCTCCCTTCCCCTCCCTTCATCTCTGTATCCCCTTCCCATTTGCGGAAGATCTTTCTCCCTGTTTCCTGTAGCCTAGTTTTTATTTTTAAAGAATTGTTTGTACTTGGGTTTCACATTTAGGAGAAGTACGCAACATTTAAACTCGTGTATCTGATGTATTCCCATAACATTAAGGTCTCCAGGTCCACGTGTTTTCCTACAAGTGACTCAGATTGATCCTTCTTTACAGCGGAGTCGTCCTCCACTGTGCACAAGTTGCACGTTCTCTTTATCTGTTCCTCTGTTGGACATATAGGCTGCTTTCAAGATGTAGCTATGATGAGTTTTGCTGGTAGAAATACAGGAATGCATATATCACTGTGGTATGCTTTAACTCTTTTGGGAGGATACCCAGCAGGGAAATACCTAGGTCAAATGAAATTTGTATTTTTTGTTTTCCGGGGCATCTCCGCACTGTTTTCCTTTGCAGTTGTACTGGTTTATATTCCCACCAACAGTGTAGAAGTATGCTTTTGACCCCACATCCACAACAGCATATGTTGTTGACTTTTTTTTTTCATGATGGCCAGTCTTTCTGGAGTAAGAGGAAATCTCAGTGATGTTTTGATTTGCATTTCTATTGTGGCCATAGACCGTGAGCAAGTTTTGATGCATTTATTGGCCATTTACAGCAAGTTAAAGTAAACAAGCAACAGAGTGAAGAGAGAACCTACAGAATGGGGAAATATTTTGCCAGCTACACCTGACAGAGGACCAATATCTAGAGTTTGAAAAGAATTCCAGAATATCAGAACCCCCAAAATACAAAGCCAAATCAAAACATGGGCCACTGAATTGAACAGACATTTCTTTGACTAAGAAATACAGGGCCAGGGACTTAGCTCAGTGGCACTGCACCTGCCTCACAAGCACAAGGTCCTCAGTTTGATGCCCAGTACAGAGAAGAAGGTGGGAGGGGAGGGGAGGTGGATAAGAACAAATGGCCAATAAATACCAGCGGAAACCTCCTGAGCCTGATCCTTACTGGCAGGATTTCTGTCAACCTTCCGGTCTTCTGAGCTCAGGCCAGAATCTCCCCTGTAGTACAGCCTCAGGTGTTCTGGCTCTATTTTTTTCCAAACATTTCCAAATTCTTCCCACAAGCCAGTCCCAAAGGCTCCTGAACCACAGGTCATGCAGGTATTGTCACAACAGCAATCCCACTTCTCTGGTACCAAATTATGTCTTAGTTTACTTTTCTCATAGCTGAGACAAAATACCGTACAATCAAAGTTAAAGGAGGAAACATTTATTTAGTTCACGGTTTGTAGAGGTGTCAGTCCATAATTGGCTGGCTCTAAGGCAGGGTGGCTTGGCAGAGGGGCATTGCCTAGGAGAACAAGTCCATCGCAGGCAGAAGGCAGCAAAGCAACAAAGAGAATGACCACAACCCTTTCTGTCCCTTATATCTTATCCAGATTATTCTTAATCCTGTAGTAGACACCTTGGCCCAGTATCAGCAGGCTATAGCGGCACAAGCTTCTTGCCCCTCCATAATTCATCTGTGTTACACTGGAAGTGACAGAGGTTGGCTGAGTTCACTGCCAGTCAAGGTCACCTGATTCCAACTAAATTCCTCCCCTCTGAATTAACAATTTTTTCTCTTCAGTAAAGATATGCTGTGCCCTCATTCTATTGTCCTGCCTGCTTGAAATTTGTCATCAGCAGGTGTTGATCAACTAGGCCTGCCCAGTTTCCCCTCTTCCCACACTTGGAATAAATAAACACTGGATGTCCTGGGAGTCCTTCATCTTTGCTGTCTTAGGTCAGCCCGAGACTCAGTTTCTCTCAAGTCTCTGTGTGTTTTTTTCTATTTCTCACTTTCCTATCTCAAGAATGTCATACTGGCTCTCAGGAGACCAGGACCACTGCAAGGGTCTCCGGTAATGTCCCTTTTCCCTTTCCCTATATAATCCTAGTGCCCTTGATCCTAACATTGCACCAGGAATCAGTCCCAATATCACACTCTCTAGATCCAGCCACCCCCAGAAAAGTCCCTTTGGGCTTTGGGAGACATCTAGACTCAAGATATAACATAAGCCAAGAATAAAGTTATTCTTTTCAAGATATTTTCAATATTTCTTTTGTATATTAACATGTGGCACATCCTTTTCTTTGAAACAAAGACCGACGGTATCTCCTCCTGTGACATTCATATCCTTCCCCCATGTGATTTGGAGCACAAAGGGTTTGTGCATCTGAGGGCAAAGGCAGCTGGAGGGGCCTCAAAGAACAACAGAAGAAAAGGTCCCAGATGCCAGCCCTCAATCTTTAGTCAACTTGAACAGCTGGGATGAGGGCATGAGAGAATGCCCTTGCTACAAGGATCCAGATTATTCTGCAAAGCTTTGGGCATGGGCAGGTTGGCCACATCTCAGCAGTGAGTAAGTGAAAGGGGATTTCCAGGCAGACACTTTTTTTTTTCTTTTTTTGGTTTTTTGTGACAGAGTCTCGCTATGTAGTTGAAACCGACCTGGAACTCACTATGTAGCCCCGGCTGATCTCGAACTCACAGCCATCCTCCTGCCGCAGCCTCCCGAGTGCTGGGATGACAGGCGTGCGCCACCACGCCTGGCTCAGACAGATATTTTTAACAAAACAATAACTGAATTGGAAAACTATGAGTTAACTGCGTCTTTGAGCAACTATGGGTTCACTAGGTAACTATGCTCTTTGTGGAGTGTAACTGAGTAGCCCTGACTTCTGTAATCTGTCACCAAAGAAGCACAATGGACTCAGGAAGTCCTGCTAGAACTCTTAATTCACCCTCCCTCTGCGGCTCTGCTTTGTGTAAACAACTCGGCTTGCTGTATTCCCAGGCAAACTCCAGTAGAATTAAGCCTCGTGGGTGTAAAAAATGTCAGATAACTAGCCAACCACAGACTGCCAAATACTCTGCTTCTGCCTCTGTGTCTCCTGCTTTGCGACCCTATAAAACTGCTGGTCGGCCGATATTCTGGGCCTGACTTCTTTGGGGAGAGATCCTGGTCATGTCCACCGGTGTAAATAAAGCTGTTTTACTACCTCCAAACCTCTGGGTGCCATCTGTTTCCCTGTTCTAGCATTCTGCAACAGAAGGGGATGCCAAGTTCAGCTGCTGCCAGCTTGTTAGAATAGGGCAGCTGGATCCCTAAGAATTGCCCCAGTAGTTCCCACAGTGTGCCTATGCGTAATGTTCACTGCGGTGCCTGCGTGCAGAGATAGCGTGCACGGGCTCGCACCCATACCTACGGCGAAACACCTGAGTCTGGAAACCCAGGTGATTTCTCCAAGGAAGCTTTAGCACTGCAAATGCTCACACACTGTCACAACGTCAGAGCTTATTTAACAAAATAAAGAGCATCTGTCTTTCTTCTCCTTGTTTCAAAATACACTTATGATACGTAAAGCTACTTTTCTGGCGCATTATCCTTTGTGATGTGATGACAAAGAAGAAAGCAGAAGGTGGGTCGGGACTGGTGAGAGTGCAGGACGTGAGTCAGTTGAGTTACAAAGCAGCTTCTGCCTCCCCAGGGCAGTGAGTTTGTACAGATGGGGTCAAGAACAGGATCTCCCTCTGGCCTGGAAACGGAACCTGCCTGGGTCTTGGGTTGGCAACACCCTCCACACTGAAGACAGGGGGCCAGGAAAAGAGTGAGGGCCTGTGGGCTAACTGGGAAGTTTAGAGGGTGCTGGGTGGGAAGGAAGAGACTGGCAGCCCTGTCCTCCCTGTGGCCGGGTGGGCACCCCGCTGAGGCTATCTGGAGAAGACAGCGTGAGGGTCTGATCTAGGAGTGGAGGGGCCATCGACCTAAGATACCTGGGCTGCGCAAAACACAGGCCCCATGGACAGTCCAGTCCAAAGCAGCAGCTAGCAGAGGGCCGGAACCAAGAGGCCAACATGGGCAGAGGCTTACCAAAGACTGCCACACACACCATCTGCCTTCCCAGCCCAGGCTGGCTGTGGAGCTGGGCCAGCCTCAGGTAAGAGGCCACCAGATTCTCCTGAACTCACCCCGATTTCTCCTCTCACCCAGTGTAGCCCCTACCTTAGGATAGAGAGAAGGGGTCAGAGGTGGGTGCTGAGATAACTGAAGTCTGAGCCTTGCCAGTGTCCCACCCCCAGTAGAGTTTGGTTGTTCTGTAAACTCACCCTGCTGCTGGCTGTGGGGTTTGCCCAGGTAATACAGCCCAGAGAAGACGGCACCCCGAGGTGGCCCTGAGCATAGGGAAGGCAGGTCTGTCCAAAAGTGATAACAGAGACTGGGGTTGGGATGCTAATGCTGACACTGCCACTACTACGCAGGTGGGCAGGCAGCCTGAGTCGATGTGGTAGCTCATGCCATGCCTACCCCCAGAATCCTGGAGCACCCCACTTCCTCTGTGTCCACTTGATTTAGACAAATTTGTGCCATCTAAAGAAGCTACTTTTTCCTCCAGCATGTTTTTTGGCTCCCTTGTCAGAGATAAGATGGCTTAATGCACCCCGGGTTGTATCTCCATCTTCTACTTTGTTCCATCGATTTGTAGGTCTGTTTTTGTGCCAGAACCATGCTTTTAAAAACATCATTGTAGCTTGTGTAGCATAACTTCAAATTCGGGACTGTGAGTCTTTTGCTCTTTTTTTTTTTTTTTTTTTAAGCTCAGAATTATTTTCACTAGTTTGCATCTCTTCTGCCTCCATATTAACCGTAGGACAATTTCTCTATTTCTGTGAGAACTGTTATTGGTAATTTTTTATTGGGATTGCATTAAATCTGTATATCAACCTTGGAAGTATGGCCTTTTGAAAGTATTGGTTCTGCCTATCCAGTAATAGATGATATCTTTTGACTTTCTGTGGTCCTCTTCTGGCTCCTTTTTCAAAGTATTATAATTTTGGTTGTTGTAGAGGTTTGGCTAGGTTAAATTCTAAGTATCCAATTTTTTTTGATGCTACTGTGAATTACATTATTTTTGTAATTTCATGTATTACTTTATAATTTCTTTCTAGGTGAGTTCATTATTGGCGCACAGGATGCTATTAATTTTTGTGTGTCAGTTTTGTATCCTGGGAATTGCTGAACTTGCTTCTCAGTTCTGGTCGTCTTTTGGTAGAGTTCTTCTGGTCTTCTATGTGTGTCTTCTGCGAATAAGACTAGTTTGACGTTTTCCTTTCCTATGTGCATCCGTTTTATTTCTTTCTCTCGCCGGATGGCTGTGGCTGACATCTGACAGACGTGGGTTCCTGCAGACGCTGAGAGCTTTCTGGAGGTTTGCCCTCTCTGAGTCTGCTGGCTCTTCTGTGAGGCACTCGTTCCGGGTGCCATCGTAGGGGCCTCTCCCTCCCCCAGCTGCGGTCTCCAGGGTTCTGACTCAGGGAGTTGAGGGAAGGAGAGTGGGAGCTGTGAGCATTGTGCTAAGGGGGAGAAAATATCACCAAGCAGGCTTTATGGAGAGTTCTTGGGCCACAGCCTACGTGTTTGGTATGAAATAGGTTGTCGCCAATAGGCCTGCTTTCTATGGCGCATGCAGCCTGTGGTGGAGATACTTCACCGATAATCTTCACACAGCGGAGAATACTCCCTCACGGCAGCTGGGCTAGGAACTTCCAGCCCCTTTTCCTCATTTCCTTTTCAGGTTCCCTTCTTTATGGCACCCTCCTGTAACCTTCTGGAAGGTCACTTTCCAGGTGACAAAACGGAGCCCAAGAGGGCTGGTCTGCAGCCAATCAGAGCAAAGGATGGGGCGTTAGGGCCCGGATGCTGCCATTAGGAGCCATGCTTCCGGGTTCTTCACGTTCTTAAAATGTCTCCATGCTACTATCTTAAATTGCCTTTTCCCCAAGGGCACGAGACTTTAGAGAATGGAAACTTAGCTTCTGCAAGGCTCATTCTTTCAAAGGAAACATGGCTTGTGATAGGTTAAGAGTAGCCTGCTTGTTCACAGAGGTACAATAGCCCAGCTCCAAACCTATAAAAAGACCATCCCTTCCCTATTCTCTCTCTCTCTCTCTTGCTCTCTCTCTCTCATCCCCTCTCCTGAATAAAGTCTCCCGTCGGACCTACCTCTCTCGGTATGTTGTTGTTGAACGTCACTGTTCCTCTTCATGGGGCAGATCAAGAACAACACTAAGGTTGTAAATACCGAATAGTTTCCCTGGTGTGAATAATCTGCAACAATGCATAAGATTCTAATAAGATTACTGACATTTAGAAATGGGAAGAAAGGAGCTAAAGGTGTAGGGAAGGTGGGATGGGTAGGGGAAGAGTAAAAAGGGAAAAGAAAAAAATGTGAGAGAATGAAAAGAGGAAAATAAAGTGTTTGTAGATGGGGAGGGGAGGAGGGGGTGAAGGGAGGGCAGAGGTAAGGGGAAAAAATGAGAATCAAGACTTGCCATGTAGAGGTACAAGATCCCAACAATGAATGTAACTGTACTGTATCCCTAAAATGTACCAATAAACTCAATTAAAGCTGAAAAAAAAAGAACAACACAACACTAAGGGAAGCCCAGCTTTGCTCTCTCCTTTACAGACTGCCCTGTCAACAAGGGCCCTCTTGTCTTTTGCCTCCAGTATTTCCTTCTCCCTATCTCCTTCCTCCTAAGGTGGACAGAGCACAGCCCCTCCTGGCAGCTGGGCTCTTTATCCCCCAAATCTGATCTCCGTAATCCTCTGCAGGAACTGGTTCTTTCTTTTCTCTTGTTCCTAAATATCATGTCTCTGACAGAGAACACCGTAACAGCAAAACCTAGGAAATGTCACAATGTATCTTACATTACTCCTGCCCTTTGCTCTGTTTAGTTCAGAATTAACCCAAACCAGAGGTATCTAGTTCCCCTCAGAAAGTTTTGTGAATGAAAAGAACCATTGTTAGCTTTGCTAACTAAACAGGGTCCCTTCCCCTTGGCTAGAATAGATAACTAAAAAAATCTTAAAGGTAACCTCCCCTAACAAAGAAGTGCTACTTCTGGGTTGAAATTCGACTATCCCACCACCATGTTTTGAATATCAGCAATGTGAACTGTAAAAATGAAATGTAACCACCTGAATGAGATCAAGGCTGTAAAACCCTATAAAAGAAGGAGTTGTAACCCAGTGGGTCATCGATCCAGGCACAGCTTATGTGAGATCGACCCTCATCGGCAATTACATTTGTTATTTTAATTCCATTCTGCTGCTGTTATGCCCAAGTCGCGAAGTCCCCAAAGACCACCAAGGAGTCAGGTCCGATGCAACTGCAAGAGGAGTTTACTGCAAGCTCGAGCCTGGACCCTTGGGTGTCACCGTCACAGCAGCTTCAAACCGAGAGCCTAGATCCATCTTTGAAGCGGGCTTATACAGGGTTAGGGAAACTTTTCCTTTTATAGGTTCTATTTTTTAGCTATCACTTATGATTGGATATTTGAGGGGTACTGGGAGGGCACTTACTGGAAAATTACCTAATGCCTATGTTCACAGAATCAATTTCTTTTTTTAAAGAGCATCTGATGAAACAAATTCTATAACTAATGCCTATATTAGCAGTGGCTACCGATATAAGCTGTGACTGATACCTATGTTTCATCAATCCTCCTTTTAAAAAAACATTGATTATCTTAAGCAGGAAGACTTCATATCTTTAGATCATAAAAAGAGGAACAGAAACACAGGGAGACTGTCACACAGAATGGAATTTTACAGAGGGGAACTTTTGCAGCTTTGTTCTGGGCAAGGGGTACATAGAGGGGGTGCAAAGGGAGCCCACCATGACCTGAAAACTTGGTCCTCACACTGTTTCTCTGTGTGTCACTTGCCAGTTCCTCCCACAACATCTCAACCTTAGATCATAAAAAGAGGAACAGAAACACAGGGAGACTGTCACACAGAATGGAATTTTACAGAGGGGAACTTTTGCAGCTTTGTTCTGGGCAAGGGGTACATAGAGGGGGTGCAAAGGGAGCCCACCATGACCTGAAAACTTGGTCCTCACACTGTTTCTCTGTGTGTCACTTGCCAGTTCCTCCCACAACATCTCAACCTTAGGCTCTGAGTTTATTGGAGGCAGGGCTTGGAGGTAGTGGGCCAATGGAGGTCGTGGGCCAATGGCTTCCATCCTTGAGCCTCTGAATTCTGCACTGAGAAACAGTGCATACAACCCTTCCAGCCCAAATGAGGAGAGGACCTGGTGGGATGTCCTGGGATAAGCCTTAGGTTGGTCCTGATCTCCTAGCAAATGAATTCTCCACTTCATGCTTTTATCTCCTGCATCCTGGTCTTGGAAGGGCAGGGGTGGCTGTATAATTGGGGGTTCACCGTCACTTTTGTCTCCTCCAAACTTGCTTCCAGTCCATGTGGAAGGTGCCAAGTCCTGAGGCCTCAATGTCTGTGCTGTGTGACCATGGGGTGGTTCCTCTCTTTACCTGCATAGCCCCACCCTCATGACTTGTCCACTTGTCCAGACAGGAAGGAGGCAACTGGGCCTGCGGTGATAGGCTGGCTCTGTCTAGTCTGGCTTCCTGTAGCTTCCTCCAGGGCAGGAGATGGGAAAAGAAGTCCCAGAGAAGGACATAGTTAAGGGAAAAGCTGCTCCTGACCGAAGGTAACAGGCTGGGTGTATTGGGGCTGGAATGTCCTGTCGGGGGAAGGGGAGGGTCATTGCCAAGGCTGGGAAGCTCCATGAAGTATGGAGTCCAGGAGTTGGTACTTATGGGTGACAGTTCCTGGCCACCTCTGTGATTCAAAGGTATCAGGAGTCTGATCATTCTCTTCCTTTTTTTTCTTCTTCCACATCTTTCTCTTCATGCTTCTCCTCTTTCTTTTCCTTGCTTCTTCTCCTGAATTGCCCTCATTCTCCTTTTTCCTTAATGCCTTTATTGCAACTCTCACAGACTGCCCCTCTGCAGTGTCGGAGGTCCCTGTCCCCTTCCTGGGTCCCAGAAATTGCTACTTAATCTTCTCTGCCTTGCAGGATGACACAGCTGAGGCTGTCCTGGCTGGGACTGAGTTGGGAGGAAGCCTTCCCTTTGCTGTTCCTGCTGCTAGGTGGGGTCACCTGGTTCTTGATCCAAATTCTGAAATGGATCTACTCCTTCTATGAATACTACAGTCACCTCCGCTGCTTCCCTCAGCCCCCGAAATGGAACTGGCTCTCCGGTCACTTGGGCATGGTGAGTGTGGCAGTGGTGTGGGCCGTTGGAACGTATGGATTCCTGAAGGGTCAGGAATCGAACCAGGAAGCTGTGTGTTGATCGGAGGGCTGGGGTCTAGGACAACAGAGAGGCAAAGGAGGTGGCCTGTTCAGTCCAATTTGCTACCCTCATTCACAACTGTGCCATCTCAAGCCTGTTTTACATTCCTGTCCTTCTATTTCTTGGATTCATTTCAAGTCTGGCTTCCCTGCTTTGGTGTACCTGTGAGTGGTTCCCATGTTGGGGCCAATAGCGTGAGGAGCGCTTGTTTTCCCACATTCTCCACTGCTCAGATTGATGCCCCCGGTCTACTCCCCGACTGGACCATGTCTTTCTGTCAACCCATCTCTGGGTTTCGGGTTGTTCACAGGAATGAAATGCGATCTTTCCACACTGCACAGATACACAGCCAGGCCCCCAGAAGATGGGCATAGGTGATTCACCCTCTTGCCTTGCTCTTCTCCCCAAACCTCAATCCCCAACCTGAATAAAAGCCAACTGCTCCAGCCTTTTAGAAGCCTTCCTTGACCTCAACCCTAAGGGCACATTTTGACCTTTGACATGGACCTGTTACCCTTTGGAGTGACAATGATTTCGCTTTCTTCACTAATAAAGGGACAGTTGATGTGCCTCTACATCGATTCAGTGAGATCTGGAAACTAGGATGCTCTGTTTTAAGAGTCTGGTGGGCAGCTGGTGAGCTCTCCTGGGTGAGAGCTGCCACCCTAATGGAGAGTTAGTTGGAGATCACCTCTGTTCTCCTGGGGCCTGGGAGATCCAAGGTATGAGGAAGCTTCTCCTTGGGAGGACCTGGCTGTGATGTGGACCAGTCAGGACATGAAAAGATGTGGGATAAACCTTAGAACAAGTCCTGAGGGCACACCGCTGCCTGTAATCTCTCTCCTGATTTCACCCTGCTCTGTCTGCACTTTGGCCAAGAGATGCTTGTGGCAGGAGAAAATTCTTCTCAACTCAAGATGGATATCAGTATGAGCAGACAGTTTTACCTCTTCACATCCCCCGGGATGTACCACTGGAAGTTGGAGATAGCCCTGAGAGCAAAGGCCCAAAAGGAGGCAGACAGCCCTTCCATCCTTAGAAAATATGGATATATGTTCACTATAGATGTTTCATCATCTCCACAAGGTGAAAGGGGAAATTACTATGGCTCCTGGGATTAGCTATTAGTCAGGGTTCTACAGTGAAACAATACCAAAGGACATACACATCGTCAGGCATCACTTAACGATGTTGATACCATCTGAGAACCCATTGTGGGGTGGTTTTTCTCCTTGTGCTGACATCATGGAGTGTGTCTTATACACACCTAGATGGTATAGCCTATTACACACCCAGGCTAAGTGATACAACCTATTGCTCCTTGTATAAAGCTGTATAGTGCTCTACTATGCTGAATATTATAGGTAAGGTAACACAATATTTGTGTATATCAAAGTATCTAAACTTATAAAATGTACTCCAAAAATCCCTTCTTAGCCTTGTGGCTAAGACCAAGTATAACGTGCACCAAAAATGCTAGATAGTATGGAATTTCTCAGCTCCACTGAAATCTTGTGAGACTGCCTTCATATGGACAAAAACATCATTAAGTACCACATGACTGCATATACAGTAAAATACACACACACACGCACACATAGACAGATACACACATATCTACAAACCTGGGAGAAATGAGGGGGTAGAATGCATTATGGTGTTTAGCTCGTGGAGGCTGAGAAGCCCTGCAACATGACACCTGCAAGCTGGAAAACCAAGGAAGCTGATCATGTCGTTCGTTTAGTCTGAGCTGCTAGGCCTGAGAAGCAGGAGCGTGTGGGGACGACGTACGTCCCAGAGTTTGGAAGTTTGAGGGCCCGGAGCTCTGAGGTCTGAGAGTAGAGAAAAATGGATATTCCAGCCCCAATGGAGGGAGTGCACTTGCCTTTCTGCTGGATTTTTGTTTTAGTGGGGCCCTCAGTGGATTTGATGCTGTCCTCCACACTTGTGGGGAAGGGTGGATCCTTCCTCTGTTCTGCGGGTGCAAACATTAATGCATTCCGGAAACACCATCACAGGTAGCCCAGGAGCCGTGTCTCACCAGCTCACCAGTTCTCCAGATGGTCCCCATCCAAGTTGACACCTGAAATCTCAGAAGCTGACTGCCAATGTCTTGCATGCAGGTGCCTCCCACGGAGCAGGGTTTGAAGGATGCAGCTCAGCTGGTTGCCACTTACCCCCAGGGCTTTCTGATGTGGAAGGGCCCCATGTTGCCCATCGTCACTTTGTGCCACCCTGACAACATCCAGTGTGTCCTCAGTGCCTCAGGTACCCATGTGGATCTTGGGGTGGTGAGCGCCGTGGTTCACCCCAGCCCCTCCATTTCCACACTCCATGCCTTTATGCGAGCCCTGAACTACCCCAACTCCAGCTTCTGTCTTCTCTCAGCTTTTCCTTCTTTCTTTCATGTGTTCTCCAGCCCCACTCCCTCCTTCCTTCATTGCCGTCACCCGTACCCATTGTGAACCTGGAGTTCTGGGCACCCTAAAGACCGCAGGAAGGCTCAGTCCAGGGCCGTGTGCTAGAGGACACCCCAGTGTTGAAGAAGTTGATCTGGACAGAGACCCGTGTGGTCAGGAATGAGCCAGAGAGTCTTCCCTGTCACAGGGCTCTCTGATAGGTCAGTGATCTGCACAAGCTTGCTGGGGTTGGCTGGAGGCGGCCTGGTGGTGGAGTTTCCCAAGGAGGTCTGATCGGTGAATAAGAAGGTATAAAGAGGAGCAGGGGACACATCGGGCATCACTAACACCTGATGGCCCCTGCTGGGTCATGTCTGGGACTCAGCTGAGGCCGAGGACATTTGGGGCAGGTCCAGTTTGTCTTGCTGCCATCTGACCTCCTCTTTCACATTGCCTCTGTCTCTTGCTCTTCATCTCTGGGCTGTGTTTGAAGGGTCTGAGGTTGGATCCCAGGGCCCCTCTTACAAGTGACCAAGATTTTATTTTAGTCTTGTGTAAGCCAGGCCTTAAGATGTATCTAGATCTTGTTTGGAACCCACTTGGATCATATCAGGGCCACATCTGGGACAATAATGGGACAATATCTGAATACTGCATGTGCGGGGATTTAGCTCAGTGGTTCCACCAACTGCCTTGTAAGCACAAGATCCCGAATTCGATCCCAGGTACCAAAAACAAAAACAACCCCCCCAAAACAAAACAAAACAAAAAAACAACAACAGAAATCTGTATGTGGACCCCACTGAGCTCTTGTCAGACCACCTCTGACACTTGTAAGAACACATTGTGTCATGTATGTCGGTCATGTATGCTATGGCTATATTAGAACATATGAACACATGCAGGTCCATGTCATATTTCCCACATCACTATCAAAATTCAGAGAGCCATGGTGGACAGCACATCCTTGGTCTATATGGAGATCTCTGTAGAACTGGGCTATGTGCAGGTGTGGCAGAACACATTGGACCATGTAGGAGCTACATCAAGATGTACTGAACATTCTATCCTACACTAGGCTGTGTCCGCCTTGCTCTAAACTGCTATGTGATGTGATTGGTCTTTTACCTCTTCCCCCACCCTCTGTCCCTGGCTCCCACCCTGAAATGCTTGGCTTGGAGGGCAAACATGCAGGCCTTTGGCTGTGACCCTCCACCTAATCCCAAAGTCTATTCCTACCCCCTCTACATTGCCCTGATGTTCTCTTTATGTCAGCTGAAGTTGCAGACAAGGACATCTTTGCCTACAACTTCCTGAAACCCTGGCTGGGTGAGTACCTGGGTGAAGGGGCTTGGGGACAACCTGGGGGTTCAGAGGAAGGTGCTGCCCTTTGCTCACTGTCCATGGCTGTCTTACCAGGGGATGGACTCTTGCTGATTGCTGGTCACAAGTGGAGCCACCGCCGTCGCCTACTGACACCCTCCTTCCATTTCCATGTCCTGAAGCCCTACGTGAAGATTTTCCGTGCCTGCACAAATGTCATGCTTGTGAGTCTTTGAGCCCAGGATCCCAAATGGAGCCAGAATGGTGAAGGGGCCAAAGACAGATCAAGCCAACCATCCTGGCTCTGATGTGTTGCTTTGAGGACATTGCTCTTTCTATCTCATCCTTGGTTTCCTTTTCTGCAAAATGGAGATAAAGATCTCTACTTAAATTGTGGTGTAGGGCCAGGGATTTAGCACAATGATTCCACTGCCTGCCTCAAAAGTGCAAGGTCCTGAGTTCGGTCCCTGGTACCAAAAAAAAAAAAAAAAAAAAAAAATAGTGGTCTAGAGCATGCAGTGGACTCATGTCCTTGGCACGTGGTAGGGCTCAGAAGCCTTAGTTTCCCTGTCTCTCTCAGAAGACATATGGGCTGAACACAGGAAGGATCATGTGGAAGCTACTGCTGGGTAACAGGCCACTTCCAAACTTATTGGTTTAAAGCAGTGAGGGTCTATAATTGCTAATAAATGTGTAGGTCAGTTGGCTGATTTTCTTCATCAAGGAAGGAAGGCATCACTCATAGTATATCATCTACTGAGTCAGCTAGGCAGCTTTGCTGATCTGGACTCAGTTCTCTCCCACGTTTGGGATTTGGCAGACATTAGGCTGATTGAGAATGGTCCCAGCTGGGACAACTTCCAGAAGAAATGGAATGGGATATTGGGTAGCATGAAGTTGTCTGTGTTCTCTCCCTTCAGACGACATCATGTGATTGTTCACATGGCAACAACATGGAGTAAAAGGATTAATTTTTTTTTTTTTGGATTTTTTTGAGACACGGTCTCCCTATGTACTTGAGACTGACCTGGAACTCATTATGTAGCCCAGGCTGGTCTCGAACTCACAGCGATCCTCCTGCCTCAACCTCCAGTGTTCTGGGATTACAGGCGTGCACCGCCACGCCCAGCCATAAAAGGATGAAATTTATCAATGTTATGACCTCATCACTTACAGCACATGGTTGTGGCCAAAGTCAGGAGTCCAGTGCAAGAATAGGGAGAGGAGGGATAGGCTCCAACTCTTAATGTAGTTGCTGAAAAATCACACTGCACAGAATGTAGATACAGGAAGAAGGAAAGAACTGGAGGTGAAGGTTCAGTGAAACACTTAGGACTTTCTCCTTACTTGAGAGGTGCTAAGCTGGCTTATTACTGTTTCCTGGATTCTGTGGGAAGACCCAAAATTACTGGGTTAGGGACAAAGTTGTTTATTCACAGCACAGTGAGGGGCATGCACATCGGCTTTCATCATTTCTCTGAGCCACTCAAATCATATAAAAACAACAAATCCGGGCACCTTCTGATGCCTGCTCTTGGTTATATCACATTACAGTGGATGAATCCTGCTTTAAGTAATCTGCTTTTATATCAAGTGGAGCAAGCTTGCTGAAAAGTGTCCGTGGGAAGTAATTCCATCATCCCTTGAATGCTCTCTCCAAATATAACTGAGAAATTACCCAGGTTGAGAACATCAAGAGAGTGAATTTTTGGCATATCCGGACAGGATGATCAAGGCCCACAAGGAAGTATCTGTCCTAACGTAGGGATGTATACAAATCAGCTTACAACGCTAATGATATGGGAAGTTACTATTCGTTAAGCATGGACATTGAAGGAATGATGCCATGGAACATTTCCGTAGTCTATCCTGCTGAATGTAACTCTCATACCATGTAAGGTAGACATTATTTTTCCCCCATTAGAGATGGAGAAATAGAGGGTTAGACAGACTTGTGAAATTTTTCCAGGTAGTTCGTGAGCTAAGACTGGTGGAGCAGACAATTCTGTCCTGATTTATTGAACACCAAAGCAGGTGAGCTTAACAGTAGCTGAAAATTTGACAGATGGGATGAAGGGAAGGCAAGGAGTTGACAAGGACGCACAGTGTGGGAGGCACAGCTGAGACCTAAACTCAGGGCTCATGAATTTCAGCCTTGAGTCATCTCTGGCTAATAGTGAGTTTCTGTTCGGACACAAGCCTGGTCCTTCTGGGGGGTGCAGAGAACTGGGACAGAGACCAGCAGTACGCTTTGAGTCCATCCTGATGGTGAGGGTTGGGTAGGGGCTCTAAGGAACTAACACTCAGGGAATTCTGATCTTTTTGTTTCTGGCCAGGCCAAGTGGCAGTGCCTGGCCTCAGAGGGCAGCGCCTGTCTGGACATGTTTGAGCACATCAGCCTGTTGACCTTGGACACTCTGCAGAAATGTGTGTTCAGCTTTGAGAGCAACTGTCAGGAGTGAGTCCTTTCCCTGGGCTGGGAATCTGTGCTACAGATATGAGAGAGAAGGTGGGGAGGGACACTGACCACAGGGACCAGAAGAACCTCCCTGGAGGAGGTGGAGCTGACCTGGGCATTGAATGATAAGGAAGTAGAGAGAGAGAAAGAGAGAGAGTGGGAGTGTGACCTTTTTATTTGTCATTTGAGTAACAAAAAAGTGGCTCAAATGAGCAAAGTATGTGCAAAGAGGTACACGGTGCAGGAGGCACGCTGGAGGTGATATTGGAGAGGTAGGTGGTGGTTAGAGTTTAGGATGTTGAAAAGCCTATTTGATATGGGGATGTGAATCTCTTAGAAACCATGGAAGTGTTTAGAGGTTGTGTTAGTCTGGATTGTGTTATCATGACAAAATGTATGAAATGGCCCCCGTAAGTGGATGAAAGGCTTAGTTTGGCTTACAGTTTTAGTAGCTTCAGTCAATGGTCCATTCACTCTGTTGCTTTGGAACAGTTTTAAAGCAGTACATCATAGTAAGATTGTGTGCTCCAGGAGGCTGTTTACCTCATGGGAGTTGGGAAGAGAGAAAAACATGAAGTGGTGGGTTCCCAATAGCCCCCAAGAGACACACCCCGATTGTCTGACTTTCCCCCATTTTGCCCCACATTCTAGAGGCCCTACCACATTCCAATAGCATCCCAGGTTGGGGGTCAATCCTTGGACACAAGTTCTAACACGTTCTAAAACGTAATGCTGGAGACACAGAATCCAAGGAGTCTACGGAGTTGCCGGCCCATGGATCAGTTAGAAGAGAATGAGGTGTGAGATTTGTGGGGAGTTTTCGGAAGAAGGAACAAGAGTGGATACCGGGCAGGAGCAAAAGGAGAGAAAGAAGGTGTTATGGGTACCTAGTGGATAGAGGCAGCCCACAGAGATGAGGTGCCAGCAAGGAAGAAATTGTGGACAATGACATCACGGCTCATCTCCACCATGGATCTGTGAGGCCATCTGCTTCTGGATTCTCGGTTTCTTGATGTGACTTAGCTTCAAGCTAACGGTGAGAAGACTTCCTCAGATTGCAGGTATATGAAGTTTTGCACTTCCTTTATGTCTCTCTCTTACAGGAATTGGAAGAAATATATTCTCACCATCTCAGAGCTCAGTGCCCTTGTGACGAAAAGGATCGATCAGCCTCACCTGCACAGGGATTCCCTGTACCATCTCACCCGTGACGGGCAGCGCTTCCAGAAGATCTGCGAAGTGTTAAAGAGTTTCACAGATGCTGTCATGTTGGATCGCTGTCGTACAATAGTCAGTCTCAGGACCAAGACTTTGAACTTCATGGATGTGCTTCTGCTGTGTGAGGTGGGCTTCTTAGGAGGTAGAATGGGTCACGATGTTAAATGTTAGGCCAAATAACTGAGGCTGGATTCTTGAGCCTTGGGGACCTGTGGAAATTCCTGAGGAAGTGGGAAAAAGATAGACATAGAAAGATTTTAGACATGACTCTGGAATGCAGGGACTTGGGGGACTGCTACATCCAAAACTGGATGAAGGGCCTGGAGGTCTCCTCTGTTGACAAGTTAATAAATTAGTGTGGCACAGTTATATGTATCGCATACGCAGCATCTGTATTTCCATCTCTGTTGACAGATGCACCAAACTCTTTGCTCAGGCAGCTCATTTGTTACAGTGACAACAGCAGCCAGGGCAGGACTCCCTCAATGGTCCCCCTTTCTGACTCTACCTTTCCTGGGTGATGGAGGGCTTCTACCTGTGTGTGCAGCAGGGTTTACAGCCCATGAAAAAGGGCTGTACATCACGAGTCTCGGAGCTTACCCAGGACAGCTGTCATATCTCCTTCTCCGAGGGAGAGGGAGAGGGAGAGGGAAGGGAACTTTTATTTTACTTTTTTTTTCCCCCTGGTACCAAGGATTGAACTCAGGACCTTGTGCTTGAGAGACAGGTGCAGCACCACTGAGCTAAATTCCCAGCCCAGAAAGCAATTTTTATGGAAACGTGAAAAAAATATTAGTAGATCCTCGATTTTCCAACCAAAGACCAAAGAGGGGTCTAGGAAGCCAGAGAGAATGAGCGTCTGTGGGACAGGGACTCTGGCGATGGAGACTGGATAGCCAGGTTTTCATTGCTGTGAACAAACAGCTGAGGAAAACAACTTTTTGTGGTATTGAAGATTGAGGCCAGGGCCTTCACACCGAGTTGCATTCATGGTTTACTTTACATCTTTTATTTTACAATAGAATCTCACTAAGTTGCCAAGTGAGCTGAAACTCAGTCCTGCCTTATTCTCCCGGAGTGCTGGGACAAAAGACAAAAAACCAAACCAAAACAAAACAAAAAAAAAACAGCTAGAAAAACAGCTACTAGGAGGAATGCTTTATTTTAGGTCACAGTTTTTCTGCATGGTCAGCCAGAAAACTGCTCAACTCTTGGTAGCTAGGGAGTAAAGATAAAAGTCAGAGATGAAGAGGCTGGTGACCAGATACAGCCCTCAAGTTCACACTCCCATTACTCACCCTCTTGAAGTAGCTCTGACCTTCCATTTCCATAACCACCCAGTAAAACCATTAGATTTTGAATGTAAACAGTGGATGAATCCTCTGATAAAGTTTTCAGCCCTCGTGATCAAGCACCTTCCAAAAGCTCCACTCTAAACACACGAGAATTGTCGGCAACTATTTTAGATTAAAGCATAATCGTTGCCAAAGGAAACCTAGTGGTGTGAGAGGACCTGAATTTCTAGATAGGTTTCTCAAAGCCCTGAAAGCTGATGTGATTCACGGGTTCTTGTGTTTTCTCCAGGATGAAGATGGAAAGGCATTGCCACTTGAAGACTTACGAGGAGAGGCTGCCACTTTTATGTTTAAGGGTGAGGGTTCCAGTGTTGACCTGTAGACTGCACATGGGTCTCTCTCTTTCACAGGGGCACAGCGGGAACTCCTTGGATCTCTCCATTCTACCCACTTCCTCATGCCTCCTTCCTCCCTCTGTGTGTGTGGGGGGGCGGTCTTCAAGGGATGGGCACTTTCCACTCTGGTACTGAAACAGCCCAGAGACCCAAAGCTGCCCTGATGTTGCTCAGGTTATGAAACCACGGCCAGTGGTCTCTCCTGGGCGCTGTACAACCTGGCCAGGCACCCAGAATACCAGGAGCGCTGCCGGCAGGAGGTGCGAGAGCTCCTGAGGGGCCGTGGGCCTGAAGAGATTGAATGGTGAGTCAGGTCCCCATGGCCTGTTCCTGAGCGCCTCTCATGGCTCTGCTCTCTGGCAGAGGGATTATGATTTTAATTGCTTGGTGAGGGTAAGAGCGGAGTTTTGAGGCCGACCTGGTACAAGTGATTTGTAACAGACCACTGTGGGTAGCAGTCATTTACCTGTTGTCCCAAACACCTGTGTCATTCATCTCTCCAGCGTCATTCTGTAAGCACTTTCTCTGCCTGCCATTCTGTAGTACGCAGACTTTGGAAGGATTCAGCTCAGGAGTCTGCCTTTCAAGAGTTCCTGGCTAGGGAGGGTGGGCTGGGCAGGGGAATGGTCTTACTTCAGGACAGTCTCAGGATAATTTTCTGATGCGTTCGCTTCTCTAATTCTCACATATTTGATCCATTTAGGCTTAATATCATTGTAGGGAGAAAAAATTCACCAGGGGAACAAGGGCCGTGGCCTGTGTTTTCCCTGGATAGCTGTGGGTCGTGGTTTCCTTAGGGAGGACCTGGCCCAGCTGCCCTTCCTGACCATGTGCATCAAGGAGAGCCTGCGTCTGCACCCCCCGGTCACCGACATCTCCCGCTGCTGCACACAGGACGTTGTGCTCCCCGATGGCCGGGTCATCCCCAAAGGTGCCCACATTGTCAGGGGCAGGAGGCTCCCGGGCAGGAATCAGGGTCCATCAGGCCGTGGGTCCTTGCCCTGATCGCTCGCTCCTCTCCACAGGTGTTACCTGCCTCATCAGTATTTTCGGGCTGCATCACAACCCAGCTGTGTGGCCGGACCCCGAGGTGCTGCCTCCCCATCCCGGTGTACTGCAGGGGTCCTAGAGCAGGGCACACGGTGTTGTTGACCCGGGAAATCAGACGTCACCTGCCCCTAGCGCACCTGTCTCTCCTTGGCTGTTCTGGGCGACCCCACCCAGCAACCGTGGCTCCCTCTCTTCTCCAGGTCTACGACCCCTTCCGCTTTGACCCAGAGAACAGCAAGGACAGGTCGCCTCTGGCTTTCATTCCCTTCTCCGCGGGGCCCAGGTGAGGGCAGTGGGCGTGGGCTGGGCAAGGGCTGACCGGGGCGGGGACTGGGCGGGACAGAGGGGACATCCAGGTTGGCTTCTCATCGCCCCAGCTCAGGCTACGTACAAAGTTGTGAAGAACAGTGGATGGTTTGGTGCAAGAGGGGTCCTCGGTGGGCTCAGAACCTGCTCCCTGCCTACCGGTGTGATTCAGGCGCCGGAGTCTCAGCCTGGTTCGGGACACACACGCCCAGGTTGGGCGCGGGCGCGGTTAGCGCCCCTCGCAGTCCCTGGAGCTGACACGGTGGGGTCCGGGACAGGTTCGGGCAGGACGGGCCTGGATGGTCCGGGGCGCAGTCACGGTCCCCGCCCCGCCCGCAGGAACTGCATCGGGCAGACCTTCGCCATGGCGGAGATGAAGGTGGTGCTGGCGCTGACTCTGCTGCGCTTCCGCGTCCTGCCCGATGCCACGGAGCCGCGCCGGAAGCCCGAGCTGATCCTGCGCGCAGAGGGCGGGCTATGGCTGCGCGTGGAGCCGCTGAGCTGAGCTGTGCGTGCAGGGAGCTCGGTGACCTGGCCGGGGACCCAGCTGACCCATCCCAGTCCTTTGCAGACTCTCAGAAATAAACTGCGCTGTCCCCTGTGTCTGAGCCTCAGAGGGCATCTAGATTGGTGTGGGATCGAATGGAGGAGGAGGTTGGGATCTCTGAGTCCAAGGCCCTAACTCCTGTGACTCAACACAGGGACCTCATGGTGATGCTAGGATCAAAGTAGCTTTGAGGAGGGGCCAGGATCAAGGGCAAATGTGAGGCTCTGAGTCAAGCAAGGGACTCTTTCTTTCTTTCTTCCTTCCTTCCTTTCTTTCTTGGCTTTAACTCTTTAAATTATTTTTTGTTAGTACAGGTTCGAAGTACCTAATGTTTGCTTTCAGCATGGGGAGTAGGTACACGATGTATATAACACATTTCATGTTTTTATGTCTCTGCCGTTCCCCTCCTTCCCCCCTCCACGGAACTCTTCCTTGTATTGTAGGCAACTAAGTTAGATAGAAATTAATATACAGTCAGAGCGGAACTGAGCGCTCAAGGAAGTCGGCACACACACAAAAAAGACACCAAAGCTGTGGCTGAAGGCACATCCGAAGAGGGCCAGGCCTCAAGATAAAGATGCAGTGGCAAGGGCTACATGCATTCCCCGGGGATAAACAGTAACTTGAGGTTATATTGTCATCAGTGCCACCTTGTGTCCAGATAGGCAACGGTCTACGCTCAGGTGACCAGAACATCTGGACCCATCCATCCCCCCAAATACTGTTGCTCTTCCCATGTACCCTTTCTACGCGACTCCTTTACTTATTGCCTCCACATTAGCTAAATGGCCATACTTATAATCCTATAGATTGATAACAATTTGATTCCTGTCGGACCCGGGTTGTGACTTCGCTGTTTAAATTACCCCTGACGAAGCCCCTTGGTGGTCGCCCCATGCGAGACCCCTCCTGAAAACCCAGGAGCTATTCCCCTCTCCTTATGCCCGATAAAACTCTCCTGACTTCTTGGGTTCTTGGGTTCACAGCATCATTCCTGGATGTTGTAAAGCCAAGAGCTCTGAACATCTGACCTCTAGCAGGTCAGGAATCATATTTCTCCTCTGTCAGTTGTACTGTGTTTCCACCATGCTGACCTTCATTCTAATCTCCTGATTCATTCGCCTTGTTTTGAGGCATCTCGGGATTCTTCACTAATGGTGTGGTTACTAAGTTACTCTTTTATTATTAAACATCACAAGCCTGGTACCTTACTCTTTTTGTTTGTGAAAACGCACTTTCTCTTCTTTCTTTTTCCTTTTTCTTTTTCCCCTCCCTCCCTCCCTCCATCCCTTCCTTTCTTCCTTCCTTCTCCCCTCTCTCCCCTTTTCCCTCCTTTCCGTTCTTCCTTCATTCCCTCCCTCCTTTTGTCACTGTGTAACGCCTCAGTGGGTCTTAACCTTCTGTACTCCACTTGCCATGGGAATGGGGCTGAGGAGGTTCCCAAAGCCACAGTGATGAACTCAGCGCACCCTAAACGTAGAAGAGTTGGAGCTTTGCAGACTCATCATGGAAAAAGAATTTTGAGGACATGTCGGCGAGAGGCACAGGAAGGGTTTATGAGGCAGAATTTTAGTACGCACTCAAGTGTCTTGAAGATGGAAATCTGTGGGATTTGATACACTGTAGTCTTGTTCTGTTTGCTGCATAGGGGAGGATGGCTCACTCACAGTGAGATAAACGTCTGTCTGTAGGGGAAAACCTACTTTACAGGTGAAAAGGTGATCTGTTTACAAGTGAAAGTGGACTATTTGTAAGTAAAAAGGGAGTAGCTGAACCCATTTGCAGATGGAAGGGAATTGCTCAGGCTTATGTGGTTAGGCTTGTGTCCTGAGACTACAGTTTTAATTTTTAAGTTATGATTTTCATTGTCTCCTTTCTGCCTGCTTTAAATTTCTTCTATGCTATCTCATTTGCTCCCCTGAGACTTTGATTCCTTAATCTTAAGGGATGCAGAAGGCCAACCGTCCATCTTCATGTAACTATTTCAGGCTGAGGAGGGCGCATTGATCCTGGACGGCCAGGGACTGAAAGTCTCATCCTGACTGATTTAAAGAAAGCATGAGAATCTTGGGCTCCAGTTTTTGAAGAACCATCATCTTTTTTTTTCACCATCTTTTGATAGCATGAAAAAGAGAACAAGCTCACATTAGTCCACAACAGGAATGGATTAGGCAACATAAAAAAATTTTACGCACAGTTTAAGGGCCAGAAAAATAAGAGCTTTTCCCACCAGGTTGTTTCTTCTTGAATATGGCCTGCAAGACCTCCAGCTCAGGACAGTATTGATCATAGATCTCTGTCTCCTTGACTTCTCAATCTGGTAAAGTCTCAAAAGGAACAGGTTTAATTTTGATAAGTGAATTCATATAACATAAAGCTAATCATTTTTAAGTGAATGATTTAATGACATTCAATACATTTGCTATGTTATGCAATCACCACCTCTTATCTAGTTTCAAAATATTTCCATGACTCCAAAGTAGCCATACCTGTTAAGTATTTTTTCCTCATTCCTCTTTCGCTCACAACTTCTGACAACCACCAATCTGTCTCCTTCAATGTATCCACTCAAGATATTTCCTGTAAACGGAATCATCCAATATGTGACATTTTATGTCTGGCCTCTTTCATGGTACATAATATTTTGGAGTATTATCTATATATTTCATTCTTGTGTGGGCAAATAATACTCCATTGTATGTACCTTCCATAATATTCATCTGTTACCATTCATCTTTGATTTTTCTTCTTTTCTTTAAAATTAATTTTATTGGTACATTTTAGGTATACAATATAATGACATTCATAATTGGAAATTTGTACCTTTACGTAATCATTCTTTGTGGGGAAACTGAAACTCTCACCTAACAATAGTATGCAGAAAACTAGAAGTGGTTAACAAGGAGCTAATCTATCAACTTAATGAAGCCACATTCCAGCCCAAAGTGCATGTGAATACCTTTTGACCTTAGGAATCGTAAAATATTATGGTGTCTAAACATTTTCTTGTGATGTCTTTCTGCAGATGTTTCTTGTGTATCTACACAAGATAATGTGCTAATAGTGTGTGTATAAAGAACCAGGTTTGCCTCAATTAAAGCAGACAGTCTTTTGTCTCCACTCTGCCTAGAGTGTCTTTCCTTTTCAATCCTCACTCTCTCCTTCAGGTACTGTTCGACTCGTGGGGGCTGGTCCCCCACAATTCTTGATTCTTATTTTTTCCCCATTTCCCCACCCTCCCTTCAACCCCTCCACCTCTCCTTATTTACAAAGACTTTGTTTCCAATATTTTTCATTTCTCATATTAGTTCCATTCCCGTCTTTCCTTTCCCCTACCCCTTCCATTTCCCTTTTCTTCCTATTTCACATTATCTGTTATACCTTTCAGTGCTTATTTACACTTTCAGTTTCTCACACTAGAGAAACTATTCAGTATTTACACATGTGTGTCCTATTTATATCACTTAAGGGTATCACCTCAATGTACATCCATTCAGCTTTAAATGTCTCTAATTTGTCATTCTTTGTGGCTGAGGAGTACTCTATTTTATTTTTTAAAAGAACACATTTTCTTTATCCAGTCTTCAGTTGATGGGCACCTGGGCTATTTCCAAGTTTTAGCTATTGCAAACTGTCCCGCTATGGTAGGAGTGTAGACTGGTGCAACCGTGGTGGAAATCAGTATGGAGATACCTCAAAGAACTAGGATTGCAGGTCCCATTTGACCCAGCTATTCCCCTGCTGGGTGTCTCCCCAAAAGAATTAAAAGTGTCATACCACAGTGATATATGTGCACCCGTGTTCACTCAGGCCTATTCTTAGTTGAATTTTTTTTTCTGTTACGTGTCCTCTTTCTGTCCATTTGCCACATGAGCATGAAGAACTAAGAAAGCACATCATATAAATGTTTTCTCACCTGTTCTCTCCCCATTTTAAATTTCAGGTAAGGATAATGATTTCAGCTTTTCGTGCTGAGCAAGTTTGCCTCCACTACCTGCTAACAATTGCATAATCTATCCCCCAAGTCTCATTATTTATGTATTTAGGCAACAATTGCACAACCTGTCCTCCAAGTCCCACTCTTTATGGAAAACCAGTCTCCATAAGGGTTGTCTAATCACTGGTCTTTAAGACCAGGCCTGCTAGAGAAAACTTGTTCTACAGTTTTCACACAGGAGCTGTAAGCTATCTCCTGGGGTAGGAAGCCAGGTTATTGGTTTTAAAGTGTGGCACACTTTGACAGTAATCCCCACTGGCTCGAACAGGAGAGTTTCATATTTAGATAGCTGTTTTCTCTCTCTCTCTCTTTTTTTTTTTTTTTTTTTTTTTTTTTTTG